CAATGTACGTTTATTCATATTCTAACGCATACCAACAAAGATCAGAAATTCATAATAAGAGTTGGCCTGACTTTGAACCGTACAGATCATCAGAAAGTTTTTAAACGAACCTGAAGCGCTACTGCAGTGACTGGCACTTCAGAAATTTGCTGTATACAATTATAGTATTCAATTGGCCATCGATTAGTTGGGCTTTACACATAATGTTGATATGAATATCAATCGAACAGCTGAACTTGTACAGACTTGCGAGTGATCAATGGTGTTTCTGATTCTTTGTTCATATCTCAATGACTTCCTGACGTAACTCCCTGTTAACGTCATTTGTCGTTTTTGAATTGAAAAGTTGCTTTCAAGATGCCGAGCGTAGCATTTTCATAAACTATACTGGACAGATTTCTAGTTGAACGAATGAATACTTTATGAATGAATTAATGCATGCTTTTTTGTCTCTTTTCTAGTACAGTAGTAGCATGGTATTGGCAGCTTAATGTCTGTGAACTTGCTTTAAATGAAACTGTGACTCCTGATGATCAACAACAACATTTTCAAACACTGCCAAGGGCTTTATATAATTAAGCTATATCTGACGCTGGAGGCCTGTAACAACGGTGCATCTTTGAGCTCGGTTACGTCATGAAGCACTGGAGCACTGAATGATGTCTCACAATCCTTCATCCCTTCCAGTAGTCAATGGCCTCCGGCAGGCAGTCATCTGAGTAGGTTAACAGTGCGGTATTGTATTTCAGTATCAACCGGGATCCATGCATGTCACTAAATCACACGTAGTTGAACAGTACAAAAAATGAGTGACGAAGAAAAATTTTCTTATGGAAGCTCTCCTGTGACAGTACACAACATTATGAAAACTTAAAAGGTTATATCCACACACTAGAGTTACTTGACAATGGTCCCTGGACTGAGCTAGCCAAAAGCTTGTTGGAAACCACTCTTCTTCTGTGTGCGGGTATTACATCCAGCGTAACCCTTCATAATTCGTGGTTAAGTTGTTTAACGAAAAAACTTTACCTTATTGTTTTGTATAATTGTAAAACGTAGTATTCCATGTATAAATTAGGCGACAGTTGTAGTACTTGTAATTACTGTTTTACCCAATCGTGAAGATTCATGCACTTGAGGCTTCAGCTCTTCTGTGGCATCGGTGCCGTCAAGTCCGAGATCCGCACCAGACATGACAGCTTCGTCGCAGATTTTCTGCACCCGAGGGAGTTTCATGGCCACCACTGAGGCGACCAACAGAAGCATGAGTGTCAGAGATCCCTTCATCTTTGCCGTACACGAATTTCAGAAACCGACAGCAGAGTCTCCAATCGTGCCCCTTTACCCGGTCTAAGACGACTGATTAGCCTGGCCTAAGCTGTATACAATGCACCTGTACCAAACCTTGCCACTGCGAACTATCGCAGGCGTACGTCTTTGTGTAAATTGTGTTTGCTTTGACCCCAGCTAGGCCGCGTACAACAAGTTGAATTTAAACGTGACGATATGAATACGACCAGGGACTTGTGTTGGATCAATGGAGAACTGTGTGGCCCTTTATCATGAGTAGAATATAATACGGTACATAGGAACCCTTTGCTGAAACTGGAAGCCAGTCTTTTGTGTGTGTTTTCTTTATGAAAACTTTTAAACCAAGTCTACACACATGTACACGAGCACAGCAGTATAGTAGTTTTCCTCATCCTGCGTCAATATCTGTTGTTTTCAACAGAAATAAGGGTTCATCAGCAGTACACACAACGGGCGTTTATTCGTCTTTCAACACACAGCAATATCATTGTTAGTTAAGTATTTACCATGATCAATTATCCCTTTCTGTCATTGTAATAGAAGACATTTGATATAACTGTTAGAAGCTTGAATTGTGGGGGTGAATCATAAATACAGTTGTATCATCAAATCCACTTCTAGCAGCTAGAAAAAGAACATTCGTAAGGCGACATATAATCGCCCATTGCTGTACAACTCGTCTATAACTTCACGACTTTTAAAACTTTCTTTCTACCCAAGAAGGGTAAAAGTTACGCCAGAAGGCAGGTAACCCACTCTCATCTTAGGATTCCGCCCACCACGTCTAGACACGGCGCTCCCGCAGTGGTGAAAACAGATGTTTGTTTGTCATTCGGGGATGTTTGTGAAAGATATTTCAGATTTTCAAAGCAATATCAGCTTCATGACAGACGTATTTCCGCTGAACGACGTTTCGGTTTATACATAAACACAACAGCAATTGTACTTATAAAAGACGACGCTGATTCTGTGCAGAGGAATGAGAAGTGAACATGCCGTCCAATAAATTTTACTGCGGCGCTATCCTGTTTTTCGCAGGCATCCTGTTGTCCACCCTGACCACGATCGTGGTTTTCATGGTGGCCCCGCCTGGAAACAGCAACACAACGGCAGCAGCGGTGAGGGTGGCCAAAATCAACAAGGTAAACAAAAAGATCTCTGAACTCTGTCAAACTTTAATCATGACAGTTTATTAAATCTAATTTACGGCTACCGCTTTGTCTTACAACTAGGTATAAAAAGTCTTTCATTCCATATGCTACGCATCACTGGAATGGTCTTGATGTAGCTGTTCGATCTCTGAATCTTTCATTGTATAAGAAGTACTTAGTAAAGTCAGTACGTTCGCCTTTTTACCGACATTTTAGCATCGGCCCCAGGTACACCTGCGCATTACTCACGCGTCTCCGCATCGGGACCTGTAGTCTTAACCACAGCTTATTCTTAAGAAATTTAGCCCCTAGTGCTGCTTGTATCTGCGGGTCTCGTTGTGAGAGTGTCATACATTTTCTTTTACACTGCCCTTTATATAATCAACAAAGAGTCACCCTACTCAGCAATCTCCAGAATGTGGTAGGCTTTGATTTTGATGTTTTCAATATGTCTGAACAATTGTTATGTGATATTTTACTTAGAGGATTACCTGATTTATACTATGATACAAACTGTAATATCTTGCTAACCACTCAAACTTATATTGTTGACACCAAACGGTTTGTACTCGATTGACTTATTATATAGCCTACTAAACATTTCTTTGTACTATTTAACGACCCATCCCACCCACTTGCTGTTCTCTGTTTTTTGTTATGTATTGTAATTGTATTCTATGTTTGGTGGTGAGGCTAAAATTAGCTATAGCTAGAGTACCTCACCACCTTGTCTTGTATTGTCCTTGTTGAATTTGCAAATAAAAAAAAAATAAAAATCATGACAGTTTTTCAGAACAATTTTGTCATTTGCAAGACTGTAAGCTTTTTTTCATTTTGCATTGGATAGTTTCTTATTCGTGTGGTCACATTCTCACTTGTAGGGTACTTCTACCGCGCCCACTCATGACCAAGGCAGACCTCTCCTGTCGTCGGCCCCCACTCCGTCTCCGATGAAGACCTCTCTCCCGAACCTTGTGTCCACCCCGCCGGCTGTCCCTGGTCCTGCTGCCCGTAACATCACTCCCTCCTCCCCTCGCACTCTCGCTAACCGCTCACAACTGACGACTTCTCTTCTAACTACTGTCAACTCTGTCAGATACGCTCAAACTCACCTGCCTCGGCAAATAACCAATCGTTCATACAAAATAACCACTTCTCCGTTACTGATATCGTCGACTACCTCTGCACTTCAAACCGATAACACTCCTCCAGATGCGAAAATACCCACCCGTACATCCCCAATAACCACCCGCACATCCCCAATAACCACCCGTACTTTCTCAAGCTTCACAATCCAGCCCTTCACTCCCTGCCACAAGAATCACACGACCAGGGTATTTGCCGGCAACGGGACGGTCTCGTCCCCAGGATACCCGGATGACTACCCTCCCAACATGTGTCGCACGTGGATATTTTGGACCAGTCCACTGAAGTAAGTTCAAACGCAGAACATCTTATCTAAAAGTTGGACTGTCTTTTGTTAAAATTTCATATCGTACAGTTGACTTATTTCTGATCCTTTGCCAGATCTGTTTGTAAACCCGACAGCCATAGCTTCAATTTGTATTTTGTTTCAATGTTTGTTTATTTGTTTGTTTTGCAGAAGCGTCGTCCTAAGGTTCCTCCACTTTGTCGTGGAGGAATATCACAGCTGCAAGTTTGACAACGTGACGATTGTCGTGGATGGCAGACGGCCGGGCCAGACGTACTGCGGCGGCGGTAAGTACAGTCCGCGGCCCCCGCCGTCCACCTTCACCGGGGACGCTACGGTGGAGGTCACCATGCTGACGGACGGGAACCACCAGGAGAGCGGCATCAAGCTCCAGTACAACAGCGTGCCTGGCCGTGGGTAACTCATCTCATCTATTCCTTAGTCTCGACAGTTGGGGCACCACAGATGATCTGACAAATATCTTCTCTCAACACTTCTCGGTTTTCTATTTATATTCCTATCAATGTTTTCTTTCAGTCGCCACATCCTAACTGACTCTAAATTGACCTAAGTGTAGCAATACTTAAGAGGCATTTGTTCTTTTTTTGCTGGATAACCCTGGTAGTATAACTTTCGTAAGAGCCACGCCATGCATAACATGGCCTCAGAGGTTTTCCTGGTGCTTGTGATTTGGAATCGTAGGTCGTTTCTTTGTGTTCGGTTGTAAAGAAAGGCTCCATCAGAGTAAATGTTCTGTTGTGCCAATTTTTTTCGATAAAGCGTGAATAAAAACACAAGGTACAGACAAGGTGTTGTGAACAAATTGCTTTATTGGATAAATCATGGGACCTTCCGGTCAACATCATTTAACGTTACTTACATGATTTATTTGGCTTCGTTCTTGTCGTTATGCTCCAGTCAGCCATTAGTAATCATTCAATACAAACATAATTTTGTGGGTCTATACGGTATCATATCACACACAACGGAAAACCATACAATACAAGGGATAAATACATGTACATGCTGCTGATATAACTGCGGTTTATCTTCTAACACAGAAAAACATATGTACAGTATTCATCAATGCACAACAGCCTTTTCATACCAGAAAGAGAGTGAATACGTACCTGGTATCAACCACTCTATTGTACATTAAAGTAGCACCATTCAAAGGTTTGTATTTTGTAACTATGTTTGACGTCTAACAGTCAAAAATGGAATGAAGTAAAACTATTTCACATCTCTTGGGCAAAAAAAGTTTTCATCTGCAAAGAAGCGCGTCCAAGAAGAAGGGTAGTCTGCCGTCCTCCTCCTTGACGATTATGGCAGCAGATGTAAGTTCGGGCAGACGTACTAGCAGCGACCCCAGGCGGGACGGATCTGCACGACAGTTTTCCGTGAGGCACAGTTCGTCCAGCAGCTGGTACAGCACAGGTGTCGTGTCGAGAGGGCCGTCTATGGAGTACAATGTACAACGATATCGTAAACAAATGACAAGCCCCCTCACTCCTCATGCAATGGAAAAGAGTGACAAAGCATTTCAAGTACTTCTTCCATAGCCGTTACGCCCCGCTCATTCAATTGATAGAAGAAAAAATTATTATAATGAGTTTATTGCAAATTCATGCCCAAAGGTTAATTGCCCATAACAAAGATAAAAGAACATAGAAAGGGAGTTGAGGATTTACATGATGAAAGGTAATTTTCTAAAACTATGTCTGAAGAGCTTGACTTCTCTTACGTAAACCATGGAAGACGTAATGACCTTGATTGAGAAGCACCATGGCCTTCAAGATGACGTATTCTTCCCTGCTCATGTGCAACTTTCGCAGCGATGTTGTCACGTGATGCAGACGCTCCAAGATGTCAGTAAGTTCGTCCGTCTGTCTTCTCCTTTCTCCGGTGTCCCGTATGTTGTTGTTAAGTGTGGACCCTGAGTGCAAGCGAGATTCAAAAAAATAAAGTTATCATAAGCACTTGTCCTTCATATCATCGACACCTTAAGAGTTTAAAGGCAAATTTGGGTACCGTGTACTATGTCTGCTTCTGTCCAGACGTCCCTGCCATATTGTTTGTTTGTTTGTTCTCTCTCTGCCTCTCTCTCTCTCTCTCTGTGTGCGTGCGTGCGTGCCTGTGTGTGTGTGTGTGTGTGTGTGTGTGTGCGTGTGTGTGTGTGTGTGTGTGTGTGTGTGTGTGTGTGTGTGTGACAGTGAGAAATAAAATGAGAGATTGAATCAAGTTTTTTTTTCTAGTAGCATGTTACCTTTCGCCGTGGCGAGGTACTTCTGTAACCTCAGCTCGTTGTAGTAGATCCTCTGCATCAGCGTCATCCGGGGCATGTCTGTGACGTCATCCCGTTGCCGTGGATACAGCCTCGGTTGCACGATGCTGTCCATGAGAGTCAGCTCCATCCATTTGTTGCTCAGAAGTCTGGACAGGTCCTGCTGTTCAAACTTGTCCTGGCAGGGGAACAGCTTCAGCCACCTGAAACGGTACAGCAGACATTACAGGTGAGAAATCAGGACTGAGACATTCTGTGAGAGCTTGTAGTAAACATAGGTGCCCCCTCCCACTACCCTCACAAATATAAAGAATGGACAAAAACTTACCCTGCATTCAGGTGTTTGGAAAGGACAATGTTTTTTATAGGATTATCTAAGAAACAGCTATCTTATCTGAAAACATACGATAATCTTCACTGTAATCACAGAAAGTTATAACTACTAACCTAACAAGCCTGGCCACCAAATAGTTTCCCAGGTTTTGTATCGCATGCGCAGTGTGGCACCGCCCGTCCTCCAGGTCGTACAGGATGTGCGCATGCTCAGTTGCGTCGCCGTCGCTCTTGAAGTTCACCTCGGGTTCTTCACACTGGAAATGTCGACAAAAAAGTCAGCTTTTACACATTTCTTTTGCCTACATAAAAAAATTTAGAAATTACTTTTTGGCGGCCGAAATTGCGTCTACATTACCCAAATGGGCTTTAATGAGCACTAAAACTACATAGACCATTGATGTACCAATATTCTAAAACTTACCGCCAGAAGTTCATTCACAAGCCTGCTGCTGGAGGCTACCGGATGTGACGTAGGGCTGTCCTTTCCCGTCATAGTCCCCTCTTGGCTGTCGATACCACTGCCGGTCTCCGGGTCAGGAGAAACAGGTTGCTGTTTTGTCACGTCCAGTTTCTTATTCATCCACTCCCTCCGTCTCCGTTTGGCCCGGCCTCCAGGCACACGGTCCTCTCGGACAGCTGGGAAAATAAGACCTTTGTCAGGAAGTATTGTTTATTTCTCTGTTGTAGCATCTGTTACCTTTCAATCAATCAATCAATCAATCAATCAAAATGGTTTATTGCTTAATCACGAACATTGCAGCCTGTCAAAGCTGACTTGCGTTCAAAGATGCACATTAATTTTTTTAAACATAAACGAAATACACAGTCTTGAAGTCAAATTGCAGTAGAGTTGCATATTAAAAATATTTACACAATGTAAGAATTTGATTGCATCTGTTTGCTTTGCGTTTCACACTGTCTGCTTGTCCGTCTATTTATTTGTATGACTGTTGAGGTACCATTCTAATAAAGATAGGAACCTATAGTATATGGCATGTCAGACAATTGTAAGTAATGTTTATATCATACACTCCTGCATTTATCCTTAGATAATCTGTACTATTCCTCTCGTTTCACCTGCGATCATCATGCCATTGCGCATGCACCGTCTCAGGCGGCAGCCCTGACACAGGTTCCTCTTCTGCATCATCACCTCACATCTGTAGTCTCCGCGCACGCATGCGTACAGTCGCCTGTTCTGTACCTGGAGGAAATATCACAACAATATGTTCGTCCATCACTTCATGCAATCTGTTCTTTGGATTACAAAAGGTGCAGGCTTACATATATAGACATTCGTGAACGCTGCTTCCTTTAGTCGCCACTCATAGATTAAGTGTGGTAAATTTTAGTTAGCAATCACCCTTCAATGTCATAGGCATGCACACGGAATCTGTTTCAAAGGGGCCGGTGGAATGATGAAATCAAATGCAAGAAAATATGAGTTTAAAACGTAACGTGGAAAATTGTGCTTTGTCTGCAAGGTTCTCAATCCAAATCTAAATCTAGAACAGAGGACAAGTCCAGCCACTCATGCATTGCTACAGATGGGTACTAGTAGGACACTGAAACGGTAAGATGTCCAGCTAGTAGGGCGATCGTTAAGAGAGCCAAATATTTACGTCAAGCGATACCAACATTTATCACTAGATAAAAGATGTTGACTTATGTTCCCCATTGAACAGTACTACATCCTCATTTAAAACGACTATTACAAACTAAAGAAATTAACAAAGCAACACTATATACATTTAGTTACACGTTATAACAACTGGGTTAGTTGACTGACCGTCCGTTTGAAGAATCCCTTGCAGCCCTCGCATGCCATGGCGCCGTAGTGTAACCCGGAAGCCTGGTCCCTACACACCACACACAGCTTCTCAACTGGAACACACCACACAACAGTGAACGGAGGAAGAACGAGTGACTGACAATGTCGTTCGTTCGTTCGTTCGTTCGTTCGTTCGTTCGTTCTTCCTTTCTAACTTATGAATAAAGCGTGACTACTGTTGCAGTACCGTAGTAGCCCCTTTTACACATATTTAGCACAGAAAAAGAGACATCTCACTGGAGTGTTTCTAACTGTTATACATGTACCCCTACAAAGAAACAACACAAACATGACGTCCGCATGGATGTAACACCATGGTAACAGCAGAGACCAGCCATTTTGGTCAGTGTTCTGCCAGCATGTGCTTATCACGTGCAGGTGACAGGGTGGGGCAAAAGATAAATATTTACATGCTAAATATTTACTTGTGTATTGATGAAAGGAGACATATATCTACTTAATCCTTTAAGCAGAAAAAGAACGGTAAATTCATCACCTTACACATGTATCAAATGTCATTTTAGAGAACATTGTGTGACAATGAATCAAAATAAAACACACAACTTTCTTGGTTGCTTTAAATAATGACATTATCCTACCACTTGCTGGTGGTCAGCCAACGGGAACTTCTTAATATTTACCCAAACTGACAAAAGATATGTTCATAACCAAAGAAAGTGATGAAACAATTGGACTGGGCCCAAAATCACACGAATCCACTGTACAACATCTCCTTAATCATCCAGTTGTAGAGTTTGAATTTCATATGAGTAAGACAGAAAAGAGTTGGAAGAAATCTGTTCTAAGTTTTAGCCTTACCTCGCACTTGTTCCATTGGCCCCGTCCTGGGCAGAAGCAGCCTGTGTATGCCTCCGTTGGTCTCCGCCTCCCGGAGACCGTACTGGAGCTCCGGACTTGCCCGTGGAGTGGACTGGGGTGTCGCCGTCAGACTGCCCGTCCCTGGCGGCGTACAGCTCGGGAAACTGAGGTTTTGGGCCCCGTCGTGGTCCTGGTTTCTCGGGGCGTTCAGAAGCTTGTATAAGTCTGATGTGTTGTTTTTGGACGAAGTCTGAGCGACATAAGACGGCCCTCCTGGAGGAAAGTGAGTTTCGCGAGAAGGATATACATTTTGACCCGGGATGTCCTGGTGTCTTGTGATGATCGGCCAGTGGACTTGGTACGGCTTTGGAGTATGTTGACCAGGCCGGGGGTCACCAAAAGCTTGGGTGGTCAGTTGTCCAACTGCACTCTGATTCAAACCATTCCTTTCCAACAAGTATTGTACATTTCTGCCATTGATGGGCGAGTTTTCTTTTGGCCTATTTTGTCCAGGAGAGTACAGTGCATTGTTCGGCATCATGGCGGGGTGTTGCTTCATCTGGACAGGTTGTTGTTTGGTGACGTGTGTTTCCAGCATGATGCTGTGGATGTCAAGCTCGGGACACTGAAACATCCCGTTGACTTCGTTCGGTATTATCATGAATGGTGGCTGCTGTTGTGTCAGTGTATCTGCGCTCTTGCGTCCTGCTGCAGTGTCTTGTGCGGAGTAAATTTGTGTCCCAGTGTCCAGACAGACGTTATGTGATTGTCCCGCCAGCATATCTTTAGGCGGGGGGGCCGTATCATAGTTTGGTCGCTGCTGGACAGGCAACGGCGATTCATCTTGCTTGTATGGTGCAGCATACTGTCCTTTCTGGCTTGCCGTAGCTCCGTTCAGCCTCAACCTAACCAAAGACGTGCAGGCCTCCGTCGTTGTAGACGTCGAAGTAGTGTGGCCCTGATAACTCATGGATGTGTACACCTGCTTTGGTTCCGATTGTTGGCCTGACTGTGGCATGATCTTGTATTCTGCGGCTGCAATAGTGTGTTGTCCAATTGCAGCCGTCATTTGGTTCGACGCGGCCATCGAAGTAGCCTGACCAGGAGTGTTGATCCCGTTGATTTGGTTTCCCTTTAGTGGTATTTCAAACGACAAGATCTGGGGTTGAACGCTTTCTGGAGGAGGTTTAGCTTGTTGGGTTAGCCTTGCATCAACTGGCAGCTGATGCGGTGACAGGTTCTGAAACATTATCTGAGGGACGCTGCTTGGAACACCGTTTGTGAGGCCGGAGTTTACCGTAATGACAGGTGGTCCAGACACCTGTTGGGAGCCGTTTGGTGGCATCTGTTGTGTGGGGAACATCAGGACAGCCGGTACCTCGATCTGTATGGTC